CATGTTATCGCAGGTGGATCAACAGTAGCTAGGTGCAACCACACTACGAGAAAAGGTTCAGTAAGAGAACTACAAACCGATCTGGAGGGCCGACTTAAGATGAAGTCAAAAACCAATAAGTCGATCGTGTTTACAGACGACGACCTCAAGGATGTTTGATTCCCACATGACAGTGCCTTGGTCGTCCATTTGTTGATGGCAAACTACCTGGTAAAAAGAGTTTTAGTTGATTCTAGTAGTTCAACTAATGTGCTATTTTTGTCTATTTTAGAATAAATGAAACTAGATAGGGAATGACTCACCCTGACCGATCAGCCTTTAGTTGGGTTTTCAAGAGAAACAATCATGCCAATTGGCAAGGTATGCCTGCCGCTAACAATGGGGACCGCGCCAAGACAGGCTAGTGTGATGATAGAGTTCTTGGTAGTCAATTCACCTTCTCACTACAACATCACAGTAGGGAGACTCTACTTCACTCTCTCCACATTGGGTATCAACATTTCACTTGGCAATGAAGTTTCTAATAGAGCACAGTGTGGGGACAATCTGAGGAAGCCAAATCGAGTCTCAGTAGTGCTACATGGTGGTGCTAAAGGTAAAACAACCTGTCAAGGAAGAAAAGCTAAAGATGACAAGAAGGTCACGACAGGGGTAGTCGATCCAGACCAACCTACAAAAGAGAATGCCAATTGAGCTCATCCCATTGAGTAAATAATGGCAGTGCCCATCTCAGCAACTGAACCAAAAAGAACAGTGCAAATCGGCTCACTCTTTCCTTCAGATCAACGAGATCAGCTAGTAAGATTTTTATATTTGAATTCTAATGTTTTTGCTTGGTCTATGGCCGACATACCAGGGATTGACACTTTGGTCATAACTCATACGCTTAATGTCGACCTAAAAATTAGACCTGTAGTGCAAAAGAAGCAAAAGTTTTCCCCTAAACGACTAAAGGCAATCGAGGAAGAGCTCAGGAAGTTGCTGGACATCGATTTCATCAAAGAATTGTACCCATATTGGGTTAGGAACGTGGTGCTCATCAAAGAAAGCAAACAGGAAGTGGCATATCTGTATAGACTACACCGACCTAAATAGAGCCTGTTCGTATGACTACTTTCCGCTACCTCAGATTGACTGCCTAGTCGACGTGTCTTCGGGCTATGAGTTGCTGAGCTTTATGGATGCACTCTCTAGATATAACCAAATTCTGATGGACCTAGAAGATGAAGAAAAAACAATATTTGTAATAGAAACTTGACTATTTTGTTATAAAGTGATGCCTTTCGGTTTAAAAAATGTCGGGGCAACATATTAGAGACTTTTAAATAAGATTTTCAAAGAATTAATAGGAAGAAATGTTGAAGTGTATGTAGATGACATGGTGGCTAAAAGTTGAGCTGCATCTAATCATATTGACGACCTAACTGAAATAATTGGGGTGTTGAGAAAGTATCAACTTAAACTCAACTCGAGTAATTGAGTCTTTCGTGTCACCTCAGGAAAATTCTTGAGATTCATGGTAACCCATTGTGGCATCGAAGCTAACCTTGAAAATGTACAAGCAAAACTAGACATGCGACCTCCGAGCTGTGTCAAGAAAGTTCAACGACTAACTAGATGAGTGGAAACTCTCAGTAGATTCATATCTAGGCTCGGAAGTCGGTGCCTACCATTCTTCAAAGCAATTAAAAAAACTAGGATTTTGAGTGGACTCCAGAATGTCAAAGTGCCTTTGAAGAACTTAAGCAGTGCCTCAGCTTACTTCATCTGATGATGACACCAGAGCCTGGAGAAGTGTTGTCTCTATTACTTATCAGCTAGTGTGAGCTCTAGGAAGCTCACGACCAGCTCAAAGAGATGGATTTGCCACCCATTTTTTGAGGAAATGGGCCCTCATTTTCAGATTTGAAAAGATTCAATTTAAGTCTTTGATAGTGACTCTACTCTCCATGGAAAAGGCACACAACTGAGAGATATCGGGTCCCAATGATTGGGAGAGGGAAGGTATTAGGCACCCTTCTCTCCAAGCTGCTGTAGCAGCCCATTACAGGAATTATTCCGGATCAATTTCTTTCAAAGAAAAACAGAAATGGTTGCAAGGATTTCTTAAATTTGGATGAACATGCTTTCATCTTCTTCTAAAACCGATTTTGAGGTGATGTTATCGGGTCTTAGGTATTGATTTCCCTAAAACCCTTGCCTCTCTACCTTTATTCTCAATCAAGAAGAAATTCCAAATGATGGCTCTCCAATATTTCGGAACATCAAGTAACCAAAAAAAAAAACTAGGGGTCCGTTTGGTTCGAAATCGGAATTAGAATCGGAATCAGAATCGAAATCCTCTGGAAATGAAATCAGAATGGTCCATTCCCATAATCTGTTTGGTTCAGACAGGAATGGGAATGGGAATTAAAATCAATAGGAATAGGATTTCATTCCCAAGGGAGGGGCAGTGAATGGCCATTCCCTTAAATGGAGGAATGCCATTCCAGCAGGAATGGGAATGGGATTCCGATTCTGCCCAACCAAATAGTTAGAACCGGAATAGCCCATTCCGATTCCAATTCCTTATTCCTAATCCTATAAACCAAATGGGCCCTAGAAAATACTTACTTTCCATATGTACCTTATCAAAAGTTTTCCAGCAGTTAGGGATGAGAGAGAATGAAGTTTAAATGGACTCTTGAGCTAGGGAGTTCTTTTGGTTGCAACAACTTCTACTTGAAAATGAAGGAAACAAGTTTGGAATCTTAGTTTCAGAGTACTTCCGAATTTCAGGTTTTTCCTAGTTTTCTTTAGTTTCTTTCTCTCTCTCTCTATGGGCTAAGAAAAAACTCTCTCTCTCTAGGGTAAGGTTTTTCCTCCTCTGATTTTTTCTTCTTTAGTTTCTTTCTCTTTGGTTTTCTTTTTTTTGGAGCCTTCCTCAGGTTACCTTCCTTCTCCCTCTTCTTCCCCTCCATTGAGCTCGAATTAGATCAGTATTTATAGAGAAAGGGAGGGGTCAAGTTTGAATTCGCTCAACCACAGTCCTAGGATTCAATAGAGGTTTTTTTACACAAATAGGCAAAGATTCTTCAAAGGAATAGATGCCCAGTCAAGCTTAGCTATTTGGTAAAACATTTTCTTTGATTTCAAGGTGGTTTTTAAGGGTTTTGTGCGTCCAATGGAAGCTTGGGGCATGCCTATCATGGCATTCTCGTATTTGGGGCTGTTAGTGGCAAAAAATGCAAATTTGATGAATTTTTAAATGTTATTTTGTCTTTTCTTGGTTTTAAGTGGGACTATCTTTGTGTTTTTGGGCTTTTTAGGTTTATTAGGTTCTATTTCATTGGTCCAAGTGTTCTAATGGGTTAAGAATGGTTTGACATCAACCATCACCCTTTGAGGCTTCAGGTTGGGATAGATGATGTGGCTATTTAATCAGGTGCATCGATCTGGTCATAAAATTTGTTGTGTTGGGGTTTTTTGGGTCTCTAAACACAGTAGTGATGTCTGACCGGTCAAATTGGGTCAAAATGATAAAGATCTATGGCTGACAAGTTTTGATAAATGAAATTGGTTGAAATAGAATCTTTGCTTATGATAGGGATCTTTGGTGGGTTGGCACTTTTGAACATCCTGAATCTAATGGAAGTGATGGATTTTTGATTAGAGGTATAACTTGATTGATTAAATTCAGATAATGGTCTTAGCCAATGGTTTCCCAATTAATGAGAGGTCTTAAAATAGAATCTTCATTTTTTAACAGTCAAATGAAGGTTTTTGGTCGTGAAATTTGACATTATGGGGTTTTTTGGGTTTCCGAACATAGTGGTAAGGTCTGTTTGGTTATATAAAGTTGGGATGGTAGATGGTAAATTCTAATTAATGAGATTTGTTTTAATAAGATCTAGGCTTGATGGAGGGGTAAATGAGAGAATTTTGAGCTATAATTTGGTAGGTAGGCATGGATTAAGGTGAAGATCCAAGTTGATGATTCTGATATGAGATAGATATAGTTGATCTTGGTAATCATTCAGTACCATCAAAATGGGATGTTAGTGTTTTTGCAATTGATCATTAAGATTTGTGGTGGTCTTTGTCAGTTGATTTTGGAGGAGTAAGAATTTGAATATTACATAGATTGGGGCCGTTAGATGAACGGTGGATCTTTGGAGTTTAGTAATGAAAACTGATGTGTAATTAAATTATAGTTTTTCAAGTTCGGGATGGTGTCTTATCGGACGTTGATGTTGATCTCAATGTTCTTATTTGTCCTGCGGGTTGTGTCAAAGGAGGGTATTTCGGATTTTGAAAGGTCTCAAATTCATTTGGTTGTGTTTCTAAGATTTTGGAGTCTAAGAGGAGGGTACGAAGAATTAGGGTGAAGGGACTAAATAAAAATTGTGTACTAATAGCTAGCAATGAAGTCATCGGCTCAATACTAGTAGGTCAAGTTCAACATCCTATACTTCATCAGCAAGGTGTTACAAGATGGAGACACTCGATACCTGAATATAGAAAAGCTACCCAAACCATTAGTCTTGAACCAATCCATGCACTACTACATGCTGGTTGAATCTTGTCGCTGTGGTATGTAGAAAGGAAGAAGATAAGATTTGAGAGGAATGACGGGGTTTCAAGGAAAAGGAGAAGGGATGCTTACTACCAGTTGAATCTTGTTGCCGGTTAAATGCATGCCGTTGAAGCTCAGTGAAACAATAGAGAATGCCGCCCGTGGTCTCGTGTTCTTGAGCTAGTGGGCTCTAGAGAAAATAAGGAAAGAGAGTTCAAACAAGGGAGGAAAGGATGAGAGTGATTGGTTTTTGTTGCTTTTGTTTTTCAGAGAAGTACGGATACACCCGATACAGAATTCTGAATTCCAGCCCCCCCTACTACTAGCCCTCTCCCCACTATAAATCACATCCTGCCCGTGAATTTAACATCAATTCACGGTCCGGATGCATTCACTATGGGGCTATAAAATTCTGATCTGGGTTGATGGGTCATATTCCCTTTTCTCATCCCTTTCTCAGCAATCAAACGACCGTAAAGTAACGGAGTAGAGAGAACCGAAGAGGGTGACGTGAATGCCTCCTAGGGTTCACGTGCCCCGTGAACCGAAGGGTCCACTGAATCCGAACTCGTCTGAAACGGTGAAACCCTAAGCTCTGCTTCTCTGGTCTGAGTGGCCTCTTGTTCTCCTCCCCGTCTCAATCCCAAATCATAGATCGAAATCGTTAATCGTTGCTGTTGCCGTCGGCAAACTCTGCACTCTCTAGTTCTCCGTTCTCCCATCTCTGGACTCTGATTTCTCTCCATCACTTCGAAGTTGCAATCGGTAAGCACCCTGCGCCCATTCTCACTTTCTCAGCTCTGTTTAGTTCAAGCAAGGAACGGCAGAACACGAATAGTCGAACAGGCACAACACAAGCAAAGCAAGCTCTGTCTGGCGCCAGTCCGTTGCTTCGCCGTCCGACGCTCCAGTGACCAACGCTCCGTTGCTTCGCCGTCAGGTAGGCTTGACTCTTTTTTTTTTTTTACATAAATAACAGAGAAATGAGCAAAGTTGGAACCATATAGATAGATTAGATGCAATACAAGAGAACAAAATCATTTTTTTTTTGCATAAATAGCGATTATCCAAACTCAAATAGATAAATGCTTTCACGATTTTGAAATTGGAACCTATTTCGTTTTAGTATTCAACAATCAACAGACTTAAATCTCACTTTTCTATTAGCGAAAAAATCAGATAATAATTAAATTTAGTCAAGTTAATATATTGTATTATTGTTCTATTTGAGGGGGATTAACATACACAACAGTATTATTGTTATTATTATTCTATTTTGATCGAGGTAAGGTTTTTTCTTTTTTCTTTTTTTAATTTTGAGTGCAAAGTTATTGCATAAAAAACCAAAAAACTGTAGTGCGGTTAACCGGTTGCATCGGTTCTTTTTTGGTTCGGATTTTTAAGAAACCGAACAGATTGGTTCAGTTAAAAAAATACCCATGGTTCAGTTAACCGAACCGTGAGCACCCCTAATTTGCTTTAAATATCTTATTAGTTGCTAAAAAAATTCTTCTTGTTAATTTCTTTAAAAAATTATGCTATTTTTTGAAGTTGGTCGTAGTTAACTGCTTTAGGAATTTAACACTGCCTGCTATTATTTGCTTTAAATATCTTCCCAATATGGTAAGAATGTTTGTTGTTACCTGCTTTAAAAAAATGTGCTAATTGCTTAACTTGCTTCATCAGAAATTAATAAATACGAATGCTTGGTATAGATTGCTTTTTCTGGTAGAGTGGTATACATTTTTTTCTTGAAGAGGTGATGGCGAGAATGGGGCTTGTGGAGAAATGGAAAAATTATAATGTGGTAGGGGGGGAGTCTGGCTATGTGATGATGAAGGAATTAGGGTACTTAAGAGAAGATTTGAAGAGTTGGAGTAAGTCAGTGCTTTCTGTTGGGAAGTGTTTCATGGTTGCATTAATACCTATGGTCCACTCCAAAGAAAAAGACCAAATTGGTGTTTGTCTCCTAATTGGTATGTCTTTTGTAAATTGAATGGTGAGACTGCATTTCATCTTCTAATTTCCTGCCCTTTAGTTTGCTTTATTGGTTTGTCTTTGGCTGCAGGCTGGATGGTTTTTTAGCCATACTGGCATTAGCTGTACAAAAAAGAGGGGTAGGACCTTGTGGGGGTGCACTAGAGCAGCACTACTTTGGATTGTGTGGGGGGAAAGAAATGCAAGAATATTTGAAGAGAAGGAAAGAAGCGGAAGCCTTGGTAGAAACAATAACTTTGAGAGTGGCATATTGGTCAAAGAGCATGGAGCTGTTTTCAGACTTCAAGATTGAAGATTTTATCAGAGCTTGGGGTGTTATTGCTGCATCCTCATCTACAAGACAAAGATCTGTTGAGACTTGGTCTCCCCTAATAAATGGCTAGAAGAAAATAAACTTTGATGGGAGTTGTTTGGGTAATCCAGGCCCTTCATGTATAGGGGGGTCATTAGGGATGAAGAGGGGAACATAACTGCTTTATACTCTGGTCCTGTGGAGCAAGGTGATATGGAAAGGTCAGAGTTTTTGGCTGCAGTTTATGGGGTTTGAGAAGGCTAAAGAACTGGGTAATTAGTAGGCTGATTATTGAGGGAGAGTAAAAAATTGTTGTAAAGTAGCTGCTTAAGGGGGAGGGGGTGATATGGCATTTGAGGAATGAATTCAGGATGCTTAAATGGCTATCAAAGGACATGTCAATCCGAGTGAGATGGGTGAGAACTGCCAACAGTTTGGTAGTTAGCTTAGCCAAGCAAGAGGTACATAGAACACCTGTTTTGGGCTCAAATGTAATCTTGGATTTGGTCAGTTTCTAAAGCTGGTTTTCTTTTTACAACTTGTTGTAACCTGATATTTTTTAATTAATGAAATCTTTTTTTCTCTGTTGCCGATAAAAAAAAAGACACAAGATGATGGAAGGGGTGCAGAAATGGGGTGTTCACAGTGGAATCCTACTACAATTTTTTTAGCTAGGAATCAAGTGGAAAGTGCCAACTTGAAAGGCATTTGGGGGAGTCCAGTTCCTCCTAGGGTGGAAGTGCTCACATGGTTGATCGCACTGGACTGCAAGGTCACTTGAGGTGGTGATCAAGTGAACAGAAGTTAATATCTGAGGTGGTGATCAATATGGCAGTAGAAAAATTGATGAATCGGCTTTCTTCTGTACACAATTTATTTAAGGATGATATGTTTTCTTCTTTTTTGAGGATGGTCTTTTCTGGGGTCCCTAGAAAGCTATACTGTACAGCATCTCATTGTACAGAGAACTGCACTTTGAAATTAATACAATATTTTATACTTTGCCTTTCTCAGAAAAAAAGAAAGAAGAGTGCTACAAATTGTTAACAGGTATTACATATTTACGTGTGTGGTGAAGCTGAGGAAATTGTTAACAGGTATTACAGATTGTTAACAGGTATTACAAATTGTTAACAGGTATTACAGATTTTCATCTTGTATCTGTGCTTCTTCTTTAGACTCTTTGGTATGGTTAGAGGATCTCCTAACTGTCCAGTATATTTTCACTTGCTGGCCAGTTCTAAATAGGAACAATAAGGCAAAACTAGCATGGCCTGTTGTTCCTTTTGCAGTATGTTGGGAAATTTGGAAGGAGAGGAATATAAGGTTCTTCGAAGGCAAGACAAAACCCAAGGAGTTATTCTCAATTATAGTGAGAAGAATTCTGGACTGGATTTTATTTCTCTTTGAATTTTCAGGGCTTTCTAAAGAGTCTATTGGTGCTGGTTTTTGGCTTGTTTGGAATTGGGCGAAGGATCTTGATGTATTTGTGATCTTGTCTTTTCTTGTACTTTCTTTTTGTTGGTGATTCCTCATCACCTCTTCTCATGTTGTACCTTCTTTTTTGAAGATTAATGAATTTTCTTTCTTATTTTATCTTAAAAAAAAAAGAACTCACATTTTTACTTTTCTTAAAAACATCCGTTACATCTCTTAACAGTTTTTCATGAGTCCATTGAAGATGAGTATGTTTCATTAACATCAAACCAATTTTCAAAATCTCAATCTAAATCTATAGCACAGACAGATTTTTCCTTAAGTTACCATCCTTGCAAAAACTGTTGAATAGGGTGTTGAAAGTCACCGTAGTTGGATTAGCCTTGTCTACTGTGATTCTTTAATGAACATAACAAAACCCATCCATAACTTCTTACATTTTGTACTATATATATAGAGGCAATGTGGGCCTTGGTAGAAATGTTCATCCCTATTGTGGGTGGATAGTGCAAAGGTTTGCCTGAAAGACGTTAGATGGTAGGGGTGGTGCAAATGGACCGGATCATGATCCGAATCTGATCTTATTTTTGTTGGATTCAGATATCCCCTTACTGGATTTTTGGATTGGATTAGATCAGATAATAGGATCCGGTTGAAAATTGGATTGACTTCGAATACCCCCTATCTGATCCAAAAGAATTCGATTGGATAAAGTTATTTATTTATTTATAAATATGTTTATATTGCATTTTTGTATTTTTGTATAAAAAGGCATGTATACATTAGTATATATGATGAAAATAGTTGAAAAATGCTTGTATTTTTTGTTTTTCTTTATATAAACTGTTTTTTGTTTTTTGTTTTGAGAAGAAGTACCAATTCATTAAAGAGACTATTTTAGAAATATGTTTCTAATGATTTTTTTTTTTGGAGAAGTAAACTGTTATGCTTTTTTTCTTTTAATAATTTATTAAAATTTTCAGAAATTAAATCGGATAGGATCAGATTCAGATATCTGACATCCTTAATGGATTCAGATTTGAATCGACATTTATGGGATCTGATTGGATCTTTGGATCGGGTTGCATTCAGTTGATTTGCATCCCTAGTAGATGATATTGTAAAGGAGGTTGGGGAAGGCTGAGAGAGGTTGTAGAGGGAGTTTTGGATTTCAGATCTGAGATCTGAGAAGGTTTTGAAGGGAGGAGTCTTTGGAGGTTGAAGGAGGCATGCATAAGGATTCACAAAGGCTATATGGGGAGGCAAAAGGTGTGGATCCCTTTGAGGGGTCCCTATTTATAGATTTTTTTTTGGGGGGGGGGTTTCCCCTTTCTAGAAAGGCGCCTAGTTGCTAAAAGTCAAGGTGTTTGGGCGAGGCGCCCAACCAAGGGTGCTTAGTCGCCTAGGCGGGCGCTTAGTTGCCTAGAAGGGCGCCTAGTTGCTAAAAGTCAAGGCGTTTCACCCTTGGTGATGCCTAGGCGGGCACTTAGTCATCTAGAAGGGCACCTAGTTGCTAAAAGTCAAGGCATTAGGGTGAGGCACCCAACCAAGGGCGCCTAGTCACCTAGGCGGGTGCCTAGTTGCTAAGGCAACCAGCCAAGGCATTAGGGCGAGGTACCCAGCCAAGTGTTACGATTCAAAAACAGGCTTAGCCTTGCCTATGCTTGGCAGGCTTACGTTAGGGACATTCCTAAGATTTTTGGGAGAACCGGTGTCATCTTCAGGCAGACCACCAAAAGCTTAACGTACTCTTTGAGGAGGGGTGGTCGACCTCATTGGGTGCCTAACCTTGGCACTCCTAGACCATCATCCCCTTGCGGGGCGGCCCTGGTTAATGGCTAGCATGGCTTCCAGGGTTCCTCATGGGCGCACACTTGCTCATGGGGACAGTGTTGGACCTGCACTGCGCTACCGATACTCAAGGGAGGCTTGGCATGCGGGCTTGGTTCAATCATGACCCTTCACCACGCCATCCCCTTCCCAAGCTGAGTGAGCTATCCCGTTGCCTCTAGCGCACGGGTGTGTTTTGGCCCAAGCGGTTGCCTATCATCATGGCACATAGGTGCCTGTCATCGTCGGCATATAGGAGACCCTTCATATTGGTGCCAAGTCACCTCATCGGCGCATGGTCGCCTTGCATTATGGTTGTCCCCCTTTAGCACGTAAGCGGTGCCTCCCATGGACCGGTCTGAGCCA